CCCCCGCCTCGCATCTCTAAGTACCAGATGGAGGCAGGGCTCCCGAGCCCCGTTTTAATCTTGTCATTATAGGGATGCTCAACTGCGAGAAGGCAGGTCTGGATCGGCAGGTGATAGGGAGCTTCTGACCGCCTAGGCCAGGGCACCACTGAGGCTGTGGCTGGGGGCAGGGCAGGGCGGCGGGCGTTGGAGCTCAGCCCCCCGTGCTGGGGAACCAGCAGTGGTAGCCCAGGAGACCTGTGGCCTCAGTATCAAGACGAAGCTCCCAGCCGGCCCCGCACGAGCTCCTTGCCTGGCTTTCACGTTGGAGGTTGTAGAAATCTCCTCTCCCCTTGCCCAGGAGCGGACGGGTCCCTCTCTTCTCCAGTTCAGCCCCTGCAGGAGGCACCTTCCCCTGAGCCTGGGTGGTGAGGGAACCCACCAGAGGCCAGGAACAGATGCAGCCAGCCCGTGGCTACCTGGCAGGCATGGCTTGGACTCAGCCAGGCCTCTGCCTTCTCCTTCCCTTCGGCTAGAGACTAGGAGGCCTGACCCTCTAGCCTACAGCCTGACGTGGCCCCGGGCTGGCGCTGGGGCTGAAGCTGCTGGACTGGGTTGTGCTTCTGCCCTGTGTCTGCCCTGCAGCATCAGCATTAATGCAAATAGCCTTTTCTCTTTAGCCACCGAATTTGCTTAGGTTCTGGCCTCAGGTGGGGGTCACTTTGCGGTCACCTTGTTCAGACCTCCTAGATGGAGACGGGAGGCTCCAGATGCGCAGCCATCCCTCTTTTCTCCCGAGCCCCAGACGTCCGTTCCATTTGTAGATACACATTATGGAAGGGGCCTAGCACGGTGATGGGCACATAGCTCGTGTAATGAATGACCATTCATTATGAATGACCATCAGTGACCACTCCTTCTGTCATCACTATTCAATAAATGTAAATTAATGGTGGTGATGTTGGTCCCTGGAGGTCTGGCGTCTTTCCCTAAACTCTGGGCCAAGGTACACCTGGGGCCACGTTGTCATGGTATCACTTATAAAGTACATGAACTGTTACCTAAATTATTTCATTTGATGCTTCCACCCCTTTGCCTCTGTTGTCAGATGGATAAGTGGAGGCTCAGAGAAGCTCAGTAAAACGTTCAGGGTCACACAGCTCGCTGGTGATGGAAACCAGGCATACAGGTCCTCAGTGAGGTGCTCTGAGTGGCCCCCCTGAGGACCCTGCCTGGGGGGGGGGGCGGTTCATGCCCCCTGCTGCCTCTGGTTGTAGGTTCATCTGCCGAGGAAGACAGGTCAGCTCAGTCTTGAGCTTGCCATTTACTCAGCTGTATAATCTTGGGCAACTCACTCAAACTCTCTGAGCCTCAGTGTCCTCATCTGTAAAATGGGACTAACAATAGGGCTGTTATCAGGTGTAAATGAGGTTCAGGCCTTTAGCATGGTGTCTGTGCCTAGTCAGTGCTTAGTAAGGGTTGTTTCTAGTAGGGCAGGGACATGTCTGCTCCCTGGGCAAATCCAGGTGGCTGGGGCTGGGGCCCCTGCTCTAATCCTACCTGTTGGCCTCTCAGCCTTGCCCTCAGCTTTCCCTTGTCCTTTGCCGGTCGTGATCCACAAACCCCCAACTTGTCTGGGCCTATGTGGGCTCCCAGTGTGTGTGTGTGTGTGTGTGCGCGTGCGTGCACGTGCACAGTGTGAGAGGTTATGACCCTCTACTTTGCACAAGGTGTTCTGGCCATCTGGAATGCTCTCCCCAGTGTCACCAGGCCTCCTAGCCCCTCCCACCTGCTCTGAACACCTTGAGTTGTCGTTAGGAGAAAAAAGGATCACGCACAGAAGAGGCTAACTTTCCCAGAAGCTCACCCCTGCCGTGGGTTTGTCTCAGAGCCCCCTCCAGAGGTCAGGCCCAGCTGGAGAGAGTTACTGGGATTTCACGCACATTCCTGGGGGGAGAGGGACTGTCTCTCCAATGGGCATCCTGCCAGGCAGGGACTTGACCCCCAGTCCTCTCTGAGGGAGGGGATGAGCGAGGGGTATCCAGCCGGGGGATAGGGCTGGGGGCATGGGGAAGCCATTTATCTGCCTCTACCCCACAGGGCAAGGTCTGGGGTGTAAGTGGTGGGGGTGTAAGGGGTCTAACTGCCCCTCCCCCACTCCAACATTCACACTGCCCCAGGTTTCAGGAACAGCCTGTCCTCTGAGCCCCCCTGCTGCCAGTTCAGGGGGACTTATCCCTCCCTCCCCATCTTGGTGGTGCTCAAGGAGACCCTCACCCACCCCACAAAGCCCAGGGCTTCCCCTGCATGGTTTGAGGATGGCCTGCAAGGGGTTGCACCTCCAGCTCTTACAGTCTCTTCTCCTCCTGGTGCCCCTCTCAACAGGCTCTGGCTCTCAAACTGCCCCTCAAAGCCCCCTCTCCCCCCAAGGATGTGACCCTGGCAGCCTGGTCTGCTTGCCACATCAGTCACCGCCCATAGGGCCAAGTCATTCTTCCACTTTATTTTGCTGGACAAGCTGAGCATTTTGCAAAATGAAAATAAGAACAGGCAATATAAAAACACAGGAGTAGCCGAGTTCATGGAGAACCTATTTCTTCTCCTAATGTAATTTGTCATCCAGTCACAGACTCACTAGAAATCTCTGAAGGTCAGCGCTCCTGGCAGAAAGCTTGGGCTTCCCTGGAAGGGAGTGAGGTCCCTGT